TGTTGAGGGTAATTTTGTCATATACATTAATTTTTCCTTGAGTAATGTCAATTTTTTTTTTTAATTAATCGAGACATCTATGCTGAATCAAATAGAAAATCTGAAAAAAAGTATTTACAACTAATTGTACAATTATTAATTCTTTTTGAACTTGTGTTTTTTAAAAAAAATATTTTAATTAATATTAATGTCTTGGCTGCTAAATTACTGTCTCCAACAGTAATTTAACTGTCGGAGACAGTTATATTACTGTATGTGATAGTAATCTTGCTTAATTAATTTTATCGCCTTGGCCTATAATTTTGCTGTCTTCGACCGTAATATTACTGTCTTCGAGCGTAATATTACTGTCTCGTGCAATAATATTACTGTTTGGGTGACGCAGAACAGAAGCACGGTAAAGAATTAATTTCTACGAATTAATCCTATAGAACAAAATAACATTCGGAATCCACCGAAAACTCTCGAATCCACCAGAAAAATAGAGAAAACTCTAAATATTTTATTAAAATTCGAAATTTTCCTCAAATAAAGTCTTAAGGCAGCTATTTATACTAAAAAAACTGAAAACCCTAATTAAATTAAGAAATACTAAAATTACAAAAAACGGCAAAAACGAGTTAGAGTCTGATTCTAATAGATCTCGTGATTTTGCGAATAACCCAATTTACGGAATCATAATCCGATTTTTCTATGATTTGATATTAATTTTGACGCAGAACGAAGCACGGTAAAGAATTAATTTCTATGAATTAATCCTATAGAACAAAATAACATTCGGAATCCACCGAAAACTCTGGAATCCACCAGAAAAATAGAGAAAACTCTAAATATTTTATTAAAATTCGAAATTCTTCTAAAATAAAGTCCTAAGGCATCTATTTATACTAAAAAACTGAAAACCCTAATTAAAATAAGAAAATACTAAAAATTACCAAAAACGGCAAAAACGAGTTAGAGTCTGATTCTAGTAGATCTCGTAATTTTGGGAACAACCCAATTTACGGAATCCTAATCCGATTTTTCTATGATTTGATATTAATTTTCTAAAACTTACCTAAAATAGCAAAAACGAACTTTTGGGAGTCTAAACGACCTTGGATTGCTGAAATTTGACGTGATTTATGAGCTTTGCTCATGAGTTTTGTTCCTTACGCCGTTTTACTTGAGATAGAGTTCGTTTCATACTCAACTACGATTTAAGTTCGTCGAAAACCCTTATTTTCCCATAATTTCTTTCGATATTTCCACCAATGCCCATTAATAACTCTTCTCCGAATTAAATAGTTATTTTGCAACACGAATCCAATTTGACGTTCCTTATCAAATTTTCTAAAACTTACCTAAAATAGCAAAAACGAACTTTTAGGAGTCTAAACGACGTTACATTGCTGAAATTTGATGTGATTCATGAGCTTTGCTCATGAGTTTTGTTCATTGCGCCGTTTTACTTCAGATAGAGTTCGTTTCGTACTCAAATACAATTTAAGTTCGTTGAAAACCCTTATTTTTCCATAATTTCACCGATGCCCATTAATAACTATTCCCCGAATTAAATAGTTATTTTGCAATTTGAATCCAATTTGGTGTTCCTTATCAATCTCCTCTTCTTCAAAAGAGCTCGACCTCGAGCTATGATCAAAATATAGCGATCGCATATTTATTTGCAAACAACTTCAAGTGCTCCACCAATATTCCCGGTAAAAAAAATCTCGCTTACAAAATCTTCCTCCAAACGAGGCTTTGGAAAAATTGGCTTCTTAATCAAAAATCCCAATGGCTCCACCAATTTCTCCGATACAAGAACTTCACAGCAAACACTATCTACAGTTAGATCACATACCTCAACGCAATCCACTTGTACCTTCTTTTCTCGTGCACCTTCATTTTCCTGAACAAATTCTACAACTTCAAACTCTTCCTCAAATTTACTTTTAACACCCTCTTTAAACTCATCGACTTCTTCTTAAAGCTTGCTAACATTGTCTTCTACCCTATTGTCGCTCTCTTCACCTTTGTTGATGGTCGCTTCAAGCTCGTTGACTATCGCTTCAACTTCGTCGATGCTCACTTTGATTTCGTTAACGTCATCGTTAATAATAGCTACGCTACTTTTAACCTTTACGACAATTTCCTCTTCAAATTCGCCAACTCATACGTCATGATCCTCCACCAAATTGGAGGTTGAATAACGAATGAAGTATCTTGTGCCTAGTCGGCTGGTGCTCCCCGCTACATGGTTGTTTTTTTCTAGAAGAACTATTTTGCTTCTGATGATATTCCTCTCTCCATGCTAACTCTTAGGCCTCTTCAAGGGTGTAGAATGTACGTCACCCCATCTTAAGACGTATTGACATATTCAATCCTGCCAAGTACCGCGAGATTTATGTACTTTCAGATTCTTGCAGGTTATTTAAGTTTGCTAGTCTCACAAACTCAGCAGTATACTTGTTAACAGATCTACTCCCTTGCGAACAATTATGATATAGTTGAAATATACGTTGCTCATAAACTAAGGGTAAAAAAACGATCCATCAACATTTTTCTCATCCTCCTCAATGATTGGATTGGCACTTTTTCTTGTCTAGCTCTCTTCCAATGTATCACATCCCACCATGCGGCTGCACTACCCTTTAACTCACCCCTCACCAATTTTACCATCTTATTCGGCAAAATATCCATCAATTCAAAATACCTTTCAACTTTTGATACCCAATCGATAAAATCCTCAACTTCAAGAAAATTTCCACCAAAAGAAGGAATTTCAACTCTTACCCGATATTTATCACGATCTTTTTGCCTCCTTCTAGGTGGGTTTTCTTAAAACTCAGAGTTTTCGCTCCCCTTTGAATAGTCGTCATACCTTGATTGAAGTTGAACAGGTCCATGATAATTGTGTCTAACATGTGCACCTCGGGCTACACCGTCGGCAATCATCATGCTAGATTCAGTCCTTCTGTTGTTGTTGTCAAGGGCAAATCCCTCGCGCACCAACCGCAGATTCTGCAGTTTTTCAACCCCGCGGTCATCGCCGACGTAGTTGGTGTCTCCATGTTTCACACCTTTCGCCATCTAACCAGGAAAAACCTCGCTACTGATGCCAACTGGCGTAGAACGGAAGCACGGTAAATAATTAATTTCTACGAATTAATCCTATAGAACAAAATAATATTCGGAATCCACCGAAAACTCTGGAATCCACCAGTTAAATAGAGAAAACTCTAAATATTTTATTAAAATCCAAAATTCTCCTCAAAATAAAGTCCTAAGCCAGCTATTTATACTAAAAAAACTGAAAATCCTAACTAAACTAAGAAAATACTAAAAATTACCAAAAAGGGAAGAAACGAGTTAGAGTCTCATTCAAATAGATCTTGTAATTTTGGGAACAACCAATTTACGGAATCCTAATCCGATTTTTCTATGATTTGATATTAATTTTCTAAAACTTACCTAAAATAGCAAAAACGAACTTTTAGGAGGTAAACGACGTAGATGCT